TTTGTGCAAACTCTCAGAGGCTGCTTGTTTGTTCGCAATGCCCATAATTAGCCGTGAACTCAAAGCAAGCCTTCGAAAATATTCTGTTATGCAGCTTTCTTTCTATACTCTCATACGTCTTCGCTTGACCCAATGCCATAACAGAATTTTCTTTTATATTTAGAATTCATTTATCAAACATGTTTACTTTCAATATTAAATTACAAGTTAAAGAAATTATACAAAAACGTATGAGTAATGATACAACAATGTACTTTCCAATAACATTTGAAAACTTGAGTGTAATTGCCCTAATGCAGCCACTTAAATTCTGTACCAATAGTACAGACATCTCTCGTGAAACAAAACCTTTTGTGTGTCCCATTGTATGGTTCTTTTATTAGATGGCTGCACCTCTTTGCATAATGATAGTTATTATAATGCAGGTTCATTATGTAAAAGGTATTTGACCAATTAAAAAATAAACTGTTTACGCATGAATCTTTTTAAGAACAAATAATTCAATAAGTCTTCCATATCCTTATCCAAGCAAACCTAGGCGTTTTATATAAGGTTAATTCAATCCTTCTAGATGTGAACGGTCTGGAAATTGGGATATAACCGGATCAAATTAGGCCAAAAACGGATAATTGAAGGTTGTTACCTGGTACCACCGCACAATATCAGGCTGGGATCTACGGGGAGGGAAATGAGAGAAATTTCTTCTCCCCAAATTTTTAGGTAATTATTACTTTAATTTGTCACGAAACTTTCAAAAAAAATATTTTCGTACAAGTATTAAAACGAATAAATTTGTATAGCAACATGAGCTCAGTTCAGTCTGCGGCATTCTACATAATCGGTAATATTACACCTTCGACTAAACACTTTGAACAGATAAATTTCCCATCCCAAAATTCGTCTCTGATTCGACCCTGAAATTATACTACAAATTATGAAGTGTGTTTGTGTGCGGCAGGCAGGGGGGTGATCTGGGGTTTGGAAGGCCATTTAAGTATAAGCATAATTTTGTATAAAGCATAATTTTTCGTAGATTTCATAGGGCGCGGATTTTAATGAAATGCCATTTTTTCTTACTTTTGAACAATTCCTTATACTAAAGGATGGACTTTAATTTTATGTTATGACAAAAGAAAGGGAACCTTTTTTATAGAATTCTGTGGCATGATTGTGATATTTTTGGCAGTTTTCGTCTATTTCGACTAATACGTAATTTTTGTAATGTTTTCCGTAATTTTAAAGCATTTTTCGCTGATTTCGTTTTTAATCTGTTTTCAATAGTAGTTGTTTCAAATAATATTTACGACATGCAACAAATGTTCTCCACAGAATTCCGCTCTATTTCGTGATAATCAAAGACAGAGATTTCCTAGTAAAGGACGGTCCGAACTAAAGTTTGCTTGATGATTTCACTTGAACGAAAGAAAGAAGCCTCGAATACGTCAGTGACATATTCCACAGCTTTAGTTGTTCATCTGAACTGATTTTGATAAATTTTTACGTCATTTTTCTTATTTTAAGGCATAGGGTTTTTAGGGTTTTTCGTTGTGGAAAAAGCCTGGAGATCTTTACATTTCTTTATGCGGATTCTAAAGAGAATTACAGTGTCAAGTAAAGAATTAGCATATACGTCACTAGGACGACCCGTGTTAGGATATGGCACGATATGTAGGGACCCATACAGAATATCACAGCAAGGTACTCTAGAAAAGCTCCAGCGTAGAGGATCAAAATTCACTTTCAGGGGAACAAAAAATAGAGGGGTATGAGAGTCAGTTGAAAAAGGGCGGATTAAGTTGCAACTCTATGCTATGTAGAAAGCATTCACAGGCTACCCTGCTTGGAATGAAAATAACCGTCGTGTAGGAAAACCTACATACGTCGGTAGAGCGGATCACGTGCGGAAAATTAAGACAATAAGACATAAAACAGACTTTGGGAAATTTTCATTCATAAACCGAAATATTAGAGACAGGAACAGTTTGCTTGCGACAGTCTTTGAACTCTTTCCTCAAAGCTTGCGTGTTGTGAGCACACGGCCTAGACTTGAATATAAACACGAGCGCTGACCATCACGGCGCATACCAGCCCTGAGGAAGACCACGACAGGATGGTCGAAACGTCGGCAACTCAGCCTTCGACGCGGCGTCACCCGGACAGCCCAGATCACCCACATGACTCTGGTCGCGGAAGCCTACGACTTCATTAAGTACTCTTACCTGGCGAAAATAATCTGCTTGTTAGGGTGTGCAACTAGCTGCTAAAAGTATTCTCAAGAATATCCATTTTATACTTCCTAAGATACTAAATTTAATTTCCACGTTCTTTGCACTTTTATCTCACTTTATTTGAGATAGTGTTACATTTTACTTTTGCAAAGGTTTCTCAAAATTCATCTGACTGAATGGGCAATTAATGAAATGACAATGTTTTAACTTTTAAAAATTAGTTAAAATATGTCCATCTGGTGTATAACATAATATTTTAAGGATAATATCGTAACCAATTAAGAATTAATATGGGCGAATAGAAACAAATACTCGATCCTTTACACCAACGTATAAGTTTTGAGTTACTCTATATTATTTTCCTTTCGTATTTGGAACTGAATGATTGATCAAGAGAATTTAGTATACTTTTAAATTTATAAAAAAATAGAAGAAAAATTATGTACTACAGGTTTATGCAACATCAACAAAGCATTGGATGTCTTGCTCTCCTGATTGGAGATGACTCGATCTCCAAAGAAAGTTCTCATTATTCAATCGCACAATTTGTTTTTTGAATTATTTTCTCTAAAAGAATTAAAAACTGTATGAGACGTATGGAGGACATGTACGTTTTCTTGAGTAATAGAATCTATTTCCCACCTTCTATTCACAGATAGCAGAATAATGAATCACCAATTCCAACAAAGCGGTGGTTAGTAAATCAGAAAAGTAGACATTTTCTATCCCGAGTTATAGAAAACTTATTTGCATTGGTAAACGAATTACAGATTTAATTTTTTTTAGTATTGGTAACAAAATAGTAACCGTAATCCCTGTTGTACTCCTACCACTACTTGCAAAAGAAGATTTCAAAAAATGTGCGAATAGAGAACCTACATTTATGTTCAGAATCAAAACAAAAGACCGTCTCAACATTTGCTCATAGATCAGGGAAACTGAATGAAAACTTCATACATTGACTCTTGTGTGCGAGTCAGAAGCTAAAGTACCTTACTTGTCATAGGCACACCAATTAATTTTATAATTATACAATACAAATGTAAACTAATGCATTATATGGTGAAAATATGAATTTTATTTTTAATGGGAAGTTTAGTCTTATACAGAAACATTTAGACAGAAAAATATTTTTTTACTTTGAGCTGAAAGTTGTGTGTTGTGAGTCGATTTTACTAGATTAATATCATCTGGCAATGTGTTGTAAAGTAAGGTTGAATGTGTTGTAAGGTTGTTGATACTGAACCCTGACGTATGTGATTACTATGAAATGGAATTATTTATAACAATTTGGCATGAAAATATGTCTCCATCGTTAAGCAAGTCAGTTTTCACCAAAAAATACTGATTTATTAATAAATAAGCAATGCAATGGTAAGATTCCAAGGTGAATAATGAGAGGCTTGGGGGAATCGCTTCAGAGGCACGCTTAAACGTATATCACCCAACTACTCAACAATCAGAATTCATTTTCCAGTAGTTTCATTTACATGCAATATGAGCTTGAAAGCAGATGACTTACAGATGAAGGGTAGAGAACATTCGTGTCTCTGCTGAGGCCAATGGTCGTTGAAGCAGGAAATGGAATCGCGTTGTCTCCACCTTCCTTGCGCTAGTCCGCAGAGGAGGGCGAGTCCGTGGTGCACTGTGGTCGCCTCGTAGCCTCGAAGCGCGATCCATCACTGGCCTTCCGAGCCCGCAGACAGATCGCCGNNNCCCTCCCCCTGCCCCTCCCACAAAGGCTCTGCCCTCCACTGCGCACCGTTGCCCGCACAGCCCATCTGCTCAGGAGGCACTTCGCTCTCGCCTCGAACTACGTCTGCCCTCGGCGGAAGACACCGGCCTGCGGGAGCTGCAAGGGAACACGAGCAAAAAGTCAAAGATGGGTTTTCAAAAGGCATTATTGATGCATAACCTCTCTTAACATGCAATTCATAATAGTAAGTGTGTAATAATAGTGTGTAGTAAGAAAGCATGTACTGAACATGTTTGAGCATGCACTGAACAAAACAACTAAGGCATAGACTTTAAAACACCAAGAAGGAAAAATTAACAGATGCTACACCAACCACTCTGGTCATCCCCGTTAATATCTAAGTCCTTCACGAGATAGAAATTCATATTTTACTCAACAATACTGATAAATGCCTCAAGCAATTTGCGATACAGGCATTGCTCATATTATTTCTCTAATATAGAGAAATGGAACTGCATAATTTTAAAAATTTAAAGGTTATTAAGTTTCAACAAAAATAAAATATAAAATGCAACAACCCAACGTTAATTTTTTGCCCCTTAATGTAGAAAATTTTGGACAAAGAGAAAAATAATAATCACGAAGAATTTAGATGTAGGGAGTGTCCATGGTGGAATAAACTATTCGGTGTATTTGCATTAATTTGCATTTAGAGTTAAAAAATTTCATTTAGGTTTGTGGAACGCAGAATGATACAACGGTGATTTAGTTTTCTTTGTACGGGAATAGCATTTTCACAAACTTGAAGTATGAGAAAGCAGAAACACTCATTGCAACAACTCTACAGTTGGTCACAATTGAATATAAATATTCATTGTTTTTAATATGAAGTACTATATAACATATCATGACGAACAAATATTACGATTTGTGTTTTTGTCTGTTCCTCTGGTCGCACATTCAATCACTAGCACAGAAAATCCCCTTTGTGTACTCAATCTCAGGGCCACAAACACGCGAGTTTCCCCGCAAGAGCACTGTTTTCCTGAAGAGCCGAAATTAGCCGGCAAATAAACCCGGCGACGCCGCGCAGCGCAGCGCGGCGCGGCGGCGAAGTAATTGAACTTTAATTCGCGTGGCGTGCGCCAGAGCGCGAGTGTAAATCTGTTGACGGGCGCGCGCGCTGCAGTGGGCGCCTCTCCCAGGAGGCGCCGGCGAGGGCCGCGGGGACGCGAACGCGGTAAATTCGGGCGCTGCGCCGCCCCGCGCCGCTCCGCCGCCGAGGCTTAGCTGAGGGAAATACCGCGTCCGGCCGCGCGACCGCGTTATCTGCGCCGCCGCCCCCGCCGCCGCACCTGTGAAGGCGCTCAACCCACGCGGCGCCACGGGTCTCCCTCTGGAACCCAAGATGCCGTTCCTGCGAGGTACTCCCTCGAGTGTTTTTAGTTTTGTTGGTTTTTTCTTTGGAGGACGAGACATACTTATCTATATTCTTTATTTATTCCCTTTTGATGTTTCTCCTCCGAAGTACGCGGCATGCCCCTGAATATTTCCTTGAGCTCCTCTTCCCTCTTTCCCTCTCTTGCTGTTTCTCGTCTGATGTGGACTACGTGACGTGGCCCGTCCTCCTCCTCCTCCTCCTTCTTCTTCTTCTTCTTCCACCTTCTCTTCAGTTCTTTCCCCTTTTGCTTGTCGTCCTTTGGAGTAAGCGGCATGCCCTTGCTTTCCTTGAGTTTCTCATTTCTTTCCTCTGCTCTTTCTTCTCTGGAGCACGTGGCATGCCCTTGAGTATTTTCTTGTGTCCTTCTTCAGTCCATTCCTGTCTTGTTGTTTCTTCTCTGGTCCATGCCCATTCTTTCTTGTGTTTAACAGCAGTTCTTCCTTTTTGCTCTTATCCCTTTGGACCAAACAATATACTCTCGTGTACTTTCTTGTGCTCTTCTTTAGTTCTTCCTCTTTCTCCCACGGTGGTTACAACACGCTCATCAGTACTTCTTTGTTTTCTTCAGTTATTTTATTGCTTGCTACTTCTCTTTCTTCTTCCATTAAAAACTTGTTCTTTATTTCTCTTCTCTCTTTTCCTTTTATCATTTTAGCTTTAGACTCTTATACTAACGCTCAGAGCATTATTATTACAACGCTTAATTTAGGCTCTTCAGGAAAACCATAATATTACTCTTGAAGCGAAGTTCGCGTTGTGACGTCCCTGCGATACAGTGCCCAAAGTGATAAATCTCTCATTGAAGTCTAATCATACGTCGTCTCTAAAGTATTGTATATATTTCACGTGTTCATGATTTACTAGGAACATGCTGAGTTCCTTTCATTCAAAAAGGAAGAAACAAAATGTAAAGTGTAAAAATGTTATCTTCTTTCTTAATTTCACATAACTTTTTATCGTTTTATTTTCAAATATTCACCTTATTCTTCCTTTTATTATTGCATTACTCCTTTTCTTCAATTTTGATATTTTTCCGTACTTAAAAATTTTCGAGTATGTATGTGTATACAGTATTTTATAATGGAGAATATAGGGATACATTCCTACGAGTAAATAGCCTCTGGATCAAAATATTATAAAACATCTCACAGAGATCTCTAACGAAGACTAGCTCTTCCTTTCGTTTTTCTTTCTTCATCATTTCGCTAACGGGACGTTGTAAACTAAGCTGATAGTTTTACAATTTAATCTAGGCTTTCCTAGACAATAATGGATAAATGAAAGATGATTTAATTCAATGTAGTGAATAAACGATGGTTTATCTTTGCTCCCCACCTCACAATCACAAGGTACGGAAACCACTACGCAATGCTTACGCACAACTCCAACTTCAACTCAAGCGAAGAGCTGCCGACGCTTCTCAGCCCTACAATTCGCTCCCTCCGCCCACGCAATTGGTGAGGAGAGCCTGAGCCCCTGCCTCCAGAGGGACAGCGGCGGCGCGAGCGAGGGGCGTCGCCGCGGCGGCCATTTCTCTGCCTCTGGGCCACTCGCGCCGCGCGACGCCCCCCCCCCGCCCACGCAATTAGGAGCCGGGTCACGGGGCCCTCACCTGAACGCCCAAACTTTCTTAAATTGTGGTCGTCGAGAAAGTTTGCGCGGAAGAGTGCCGGCAACTTTCTCCAAATTGCTGCCGGCCACCGGCGAGCCAATTTATCTGGAATAGTTTGCGGTGACCAGATGTGAAGGATGCATTGCAGGGCAGTTTCGCAATAACATAGAAGTGGCTTGTATAATTAATATTGCATGGAAAACTACGTAGAGCTGAATAATAGTTCCTTTGACATCAAAAACCTGGTACTCTACTCGTTTACGAGAAGTTTAATATGTGTGTATTAACAATTACTCCCCACTTGAGTAATTATTAGCATTTTTTATTTTACAGAAAGATATATTCTTGGATCACACATTTTGAAAAGCAGAAAAATATATTTGGAGAGACGTTTTGCAAATTCACTTTTCAAATTTCGTTTTTTCTGTACTCAGGACTGGGCTTACATCGTCTATCAAAGAGAGAACAAGAAGTTGATAGCTACAAGCGATAGTCATTAACAACGTGTTTTCTTTCTCTGCCCAAAAATATTGGTTAATTTGCAATACTAACAAACACGTCCTTGAACATTTTCAGAAACATACATCCAATTTCTTTGTACGACTGCTTCTTTATGTTATCGTTAATCAGCTTCAGAAGAAGAAAGTTTTAATTCGACCTGTAGGTATGTTTTAAAAGAAAAGTAAAACGTTTGTAGGTCAGTAGATAATTATATAAGTATTTTGAATATTGTCCTACAGACTTTTGGAGTTTTTGATTTATTCTTTGGATTAAATTATGAATGGTACAATTACTCAATAAAATTTTTAAAAAACATTTTATGAAGACAAATTATTTTATAGAACATAGCTTTACGCAGCTTCGTTTCAGTTTCTTTCGCTATTTTACATAAAACATCCTTGAATCTTTTCAAATCATTTTCATGCCAAATTATTTCATGCTATCAGAAACGTCGACATCCATTCAAACAATTATGATACGACGCTTGCGCCTTGTGTCTGACACCAATATTAGTCGGATAAAGTGCGATATTATCCGTTCATTATCATTCATACAGTTTTATCCACACCGTCTGGCGAATGGGCGATTTAACTGTTACTCGTAATATTGACCATATTCCTGGCTTCATCCGAAACTTATCTTTTTTCTGTCGTTGCTGGAAATGTGTAGGTTACGCAGTTCGTTTTAGGCTGAGATATTGGGCGTCAAGGCCCCCTACGAAAGGGAGAGCTCAGACTGGCGCATGGAATTGAAAGCCCTTCCGCAGAATACTAGAGGGCCTTGAAATATTCGGTGTACCTCAATCCTAGAGTGCAGTTACCAAACGCAGGTCGGCGATTTTCAGGAGAGCGAACTTTACAATGCGACGCAATTTGCATATAACGCCCACAATACTGGTCCTTTTTCTGTAGATGAAATAACCCAATACTCAATAATTCAGCAATAAAATACCAGAAAAACACTTTTTCACAAAAAAAAAGTTTTACGTGACTTCAGTTAAAATAATAAAATAGCTGTGTAATATTTATCAGTTTCATTGTGCTATTCTCAATGGTGGATTACGTAAGTGCTTGGAATGATCCTGCATTACTTTTGCCTTGATATTAAAATAATTCAGTATAAAACAATAAAAATATTTATAAGCAGAACATTTTCCAATGATTGTTTTGTTTTCTAGTTTATTTAAGTTAAGATAAGTCTAGTTAGCAAACAAAGACAATTCCCTTTATTTTTACAATTAGACATATAAATGCGAAAATATATCTGTGTCATCAGACAAAAAATCTGTCAACGGATGTTGCAGTTATAGCAGAGTTACGTCGTCATCATGTCGCGACGAATCGTTGAGTTTTTCATTTACCTACGTATTTTTGTGACCCTAAATTAGACTGTAATCTAAATACCAATAATGAAAAGTGGTGTTTCTGCGAGAAAGGAAACTCATTAATGCACCTAAAGTGATAATTATTTTGTGCGTTAGTAGAAGTCAATCAATAAATAATATTGTTCTCCAGGGAAGAAATAAGGTAAGATATGAAGAAAAACACAAGTCAGAAGAAAAGAAAATGTACACGTACGAGTTGGCATTTTTTAGGGTCGGATCAATCCGACTTTTTCCTACTAGCGGTGTTTCCGGGTATGGGCCCTGTTTTTATTTTACCTGGGGACAAGGTAATTTGGCGAGTATGACGTAATTCTCTCACCACATCAAACATACTTAGCTGCCTAAGCTTTCCTTTCGTCACTCCGCTAAAGAAACTGAAACAAATGTAATGGAAATCTATAGCACTATTTTTGCCCTGATAGGGCATTAAAACCTGGATCACATCACGTAAATATAGCACGCTCTCTACGAGCTTCCTAAGGTGTTTAGAAAAGAAAATTGAAGTGTGATAAAGAACGCCTTAGTTTAAGTCACAATTTGCCTATTTTAACAAATGTGTTACACAACGTCGTTGCGAAGTTATGAGTACGGGAATGGCACGAGTGGCGTGGTATCTCATAACAGAGCACTTGACTTTCCCCACCTTCTCTCCCCGACTGAAGCGCGTGTGGGTATGGGAGGGGCAGGCGAGGGCGGGGCCTTGATAAGGGACAACAAATGACTGCAGAGGAAGGAGAAGAAAGTGCGGGGAAGCGAGCGAGTGAGGGAGGGCGCGTTGGCGATGCCTCGGCGTAAATATCCGAAGGCGAGGCGCTTTGTGAGGGAGCAGATTTATGACGCATGGCGAGGACCCGGGAGGGAGGGTAGGCGCCGCCGCGGGCACGTGGGACGTGGCGGAGGGCGCGGGAGGGGAGGGGGAGGGAAGTCTCAAAAGCACCACCCACGCGCTGCCTGTTTCTGGAGCTGACGTCCGTGAGGAACGCGAACAAGAGATGATCCACGGGGAAGTGGAGTTAACTGGTGATGGCACAGGATTCAATAAGAATTCAGTTCAAGTGTTTGGAGGTAAAAAGGCAGTAGAAGTTGTGACAAATTGCTTAAATGTAGTTAAAGAGTGACCATGAATGCAATGTGCAACATCGTTAATTTGCACGCTATATTCAAAAGACGTTCAGTCCTGTAAACAAATTACTGATAAAATTGAATTGAATTATTGTTCTCAAGTTAACATTCCATTGCAATGAGTCATAGAGGCTAATTTCCATAGTGAATTAAATCTATTTACTCTCGAGTACCATACATCCTTTTAACTCTTACCATTATGTTAATGGAAGCATATAAGGCTGAATAAAACATTTAAATATTGTACTGTTTTCACTTTGCATTTGCAGATGCTGGTTTGAGATCTGTCGTCTTTTGACATCAGACCACCATGAACTTGACACACAGGAAACTCTAAAAGAAACTAATTAGTTGTGAAAAGTCTGTAAGCAAAATAAAATTTTTAACAACATTATTAATTTACAGCTAGTGGGACACTA